CCGCTTTGAGTGAAGAAGAAGGAAGTAGTAGGCCGTGTCAAGCTTGAGCTTGGTCCGTGAAGGACGCGGCGCTTGTCGCCGCATGCAGCCACGCCGCCGTCGCCGCCTGTAACAAGATCGCTGTCGTCGCCACCACAGGTCCCCTTCCACGTGCTAGTTCTGGCTCCCTGGCTCCTTGCGCGTGTGTGTGAGACTGTGAGGATTGGGAATTTGGGATAAGGCCGAATGGACAAGTGGGCAGCCGGTGTGAGGATTGCTCCCGACGGCCCCTGGCTCCCTGCGCGTGTGTGGCTCCCTAGCTCTTTGTTTTATTTTATTTAAAAAAGCTTGCGCTATCTCTATAGCCAAACGGCACCTCAAAGGGATAAGGTTGTGGAGCGGGTGTGGCGGGTATGCGGGTGCGGGTAGAACATTTTCTTTCCCGTCAACTAATATCCGTCGGGTTTGGGGACGTACCCGTACCCGTATCCTTGCCCAACGGGTCGATTGCCCGCGGGCATGCAGGTATTTTGTACCCGTTGCTATCTTTATGCTCACTGCTTTTGCTGCTGCTGCTCACTACAAACGGCGCCCACGGCGCACTGCTTGGTTCTCGATCCTGTAGTCGAGAGCGATCGATTTTTCTACTCTAGATAAGTAAAATACGACGACACTGTTGTGATGTCAGGTAAGGTGAAAATCACCGGTGACACGAGTCAGCCTATTCGGGAGGCCGTATCGTATCGTGGATTATTTACTGCTGGATGGTTTGATGTGAAAGAAAAACACTGTTCCTGGCTGAAAATTTACTATCATTTCGTGCAAGCCTCCAGCAGCTTGATGCCTTTGATGATTCAAGATACCAAGGATGAAGAAGACTATCACAATGTTTATTAAGGCCCATTGGTGATTGGATTTGGCTTTGGAAGCAGCTAGCTAATAGGTTGATTTTTTAATAAGATTCAAATATCTGTATTTCCGTTACGATACAATGGAAATGGGGTTCTCTTCGCTGTTAGAAGATGTAGTATGACACTCTTGTTTCATATATTACACGTTGCCACACCCAAGCATTGATCCAAGCCACTCCAGGGTCCAACCCCTTCGGTCGGGCGGCGTCAGTCGATTGTGTGTTGCTATGTGCCGTGCAGTCGCCTTCTATCAAATCCAGAAACAGGTCGTCGTCAGCTTGTAGCGTCGCGTCGGATCGAAATTCATCTGCGCAAGCTGTCTTTCTCTGCTACTAGTTATTCGGGCGCGCCCAAAGCTGTCTGCTAGTTATTCGGGCGCGCCTATGCGCGCGAGCTACTGGCCACACGTATTTTTTTGAAAAAAAAGATATAATTAAGAAGGGTCTGTATTTTGATTTGAGAAAAATCTGAGGAAGTTTTCGAAAAAATCGCTAAGAGTGTCTTTGGAGTGTGGGTTGATTTTTGATAAAAAGAAGGGTTTTTTTGCAAAAAAGTCGGAGCTCATCAGTTCTAGACTGCGAGTTGATTTGAAAATTATCTGAGGTGTTATTTACAAAATATTCTGAGAGGGCCTCTGGAGCGTGGATTGATTTTTCAAAAATATAAGGGGTTTTTCGTAAAATGACCACGCATCGTCCGATCTGGACCGTCGATGCGGCCGATCGAACGACCGGGAACAGCCGGCGATGTGGCGCCCCGTGTGGGCAGCCTAGCCACACGCTTTCTTGTCTTTAGATACTGACTCCGTAGCCCGTGCTCAGCTGTACAGCAACGATCACCAGTTGAGCTAGACCTGGTTTAGATTGTAAGTTTTTTCATTTTTTTCATCACATCAAATCTTTGACACATGTATAGAGTATTAAATATAGATAAAAAAATAACTAATTACATAGTTTGATTGTAAATTATGAGATGAATCTTTTGAGCCTAGTTAGACCATAATTGAACAATAATTGTTAAATACAAATGAAAATGCTACAGTGCCAAATACTAATTCCTAACCCCAATTTAAACAAAGCCCTAATACCTTTCTTTCTTTTTCACTCTACTGTACAGCAACGTGCTCAGCAGTACGTAACACCACTTTCCCAACACACCTCGGAGTCAATTCTTTTAAATTTGTTCTAATAATAAACACAAAAAACTAATATTTATGATGTATAATGATAGAATATATTTTATAACAAACTTATTTTAAGTATAAATGTTGATAATATTTTTATATAACTAATCAAATTTAAAAGTCTCAGGCTCGTCAAGAAATGAGACCCACATTTATTTTAGGACGAAAGCAGTATATGTGGCGAGCAGTATTTGAGTATACATTTAGATTATGTGCAGTCTCAAAAACAGTGTCGTTCTTGTTTTGTAGGAGTTAAAAATTGTTCTTATTTCAGGAGTTTAAATTTTTATAAGATGGCCTATTATCACAGCAAGACCTATACGAGGATCCTCAAAACTTTGTCTGTTCCTAAATATTTATCGCCGCAATTTACGTATCGATAAATTTAACTTAATTTATAAAAAATACATACAATATTTTTATCTTCAAATAAATTTATTAAAAAATAGATTTAAATATCTATCAATAATATTAATTATGTGTCATAAATATTAATATTTTTAATATATATTTAGTTAAAGTTGTTTCTCGAAAAACGAAACGACAGATATTTAAGGACGGACGTCTGCTCCTAAAAATAGGTAGCGGCGGCCAACAGCCAAACTTGGCCGTGACAGTAGCCAAGGGCTTGTTTAGATTATAAATTTTTGTAATCTGAATATTGTAGCACGTTTCGTTTGTATTTGATAAATTTTGTTCGATCTTGGATTAACTAGACTCAAAAGATTCGTCTCGTGATTTACAACTAAACTGTATAATTAATTATTTTTTTACCTATATTTAATGCTTCGTACATACGTCCAAATATTGATGTAACGAAGAGAGAATGAAAAAACTTAGAATTTTGAGGTAATCTAAACAAGACCTAACTATCCTGCGCATACTGTAGCACCGACCACGCCTCGTCCCATCACTGCCCTCTCCGTCGCCCACGCCTCTGTGCGCACTGTAGCACTGGCCACCATCGCTGTCGTGGTGCATGCATCTTCGTCGCCCACGCCTCTGTGAAGCACGTTTTAGCACTGGCCACCATTAATTAGGTTTAAAACGTGCATTTGCATCAAGTTTTTCTTTTCGCATCTCTCTACGTTTTTTATTTTAAAAACTGGTCAAACAAGGGCTTATTTAAAACTGGTCGCGGGAAAGTTGTTGGCACCACCACTAATCAAGGGAGGAAGTTTGGACCGCAGGGAAATCCAGATTTTCTCCTTTTAGCTTGCGTGGCATCGGAACCTTAATTAATATAGGCTACAGTACCTTTTTTTTTTTTGAAAAGCTACCGTACTAGATCGACAAAGACACAACACTTGTCTTTCTTTGAAACTTGGAACCTCGTTGGAATCTCTCTTGTGAAAGAGGTCACGTTTAGTTGCCTCAAATTCTAAAATTGATACTATATAAAAAGAAGATTCCTCGTTATATTAAATTTATGGTACATATATGGAGTATTAAATATTAACGAAATCAAAAATTAATTGCACAGTTTAGTTGTACTTTACGAGACGAACGTTTTAAACCTAATTAATCAATCATTGAACAATTATTAACAAATAAAAATAAAACGCTACAGTATAGCTACGGTGTCCGGTTTTCCGGCGGCGCCGAATCCGACGTGAACTAAACATGGTCGAGAAATCAATTCTAGGTGCCTAAATCTACTTGAACCTCTACTGAAAAGTACGTGTAATATATAAAACAAGAGTGTCATACTACATCTTCTAAAAGCGAGGAGAACCCCATTTCTATTGTATCATAACGGAAATACAGATATTTGAATCTTATTCAAAAACCAACCTATTAGCTAGCTGCTTCGAAAGCCAAATCCAATCACCAATGGGCCTTAATAACCATTGTGATAGTCTTCTTCATCCTTGGTATCTTGAATCATCAAAGGCATCAAGCTGCTGAAGGCATACACGGAAAGTGTCACCTGTGATTTTCACCGTACTTGACATCACAACAGTGTCGTCGTATTTTACTTATCTAGAGTAGAAAAATCGATCGCTCTCGTCGTATTTTACTTATCTAGAGTAGAAAAATCGATCGCTCTCGGCTATGCGCTGTGGGCGCCGTTTGCAGTGAGCAGCAGCAGCAGCAAAAGCAGTGAGCAACAGCAGCAGCACCGCCTCGTCGCGCGCGCCGTCAACGCCAGTGGCTCGAGCTCGGCGCCACTCCCTGAGAAAGGCTGCAACGTGAGGGACTGCCGCGCCACTAACGACGGCGTGGCGGCGCCGCACAGGATCCTGCCACGTCATTGTTAGCGTGTTCGGTCTTGGTCATATCATCTTTCCGTCGCGTCACCATACATAGCGCGGTGCAATACATAGCGCGGTGCAGATGTTTGGCCGCGCTATTAACATTAACATTGACGCAGCAAAAGCGTTAGTTTTAAAATAAAAATCAACCGATGTTAGATTTTAAAATAGTTTAAAAAGTATTAAAATTAAAAAAAAATCGGCATCAACAGCTTACTGTACCATACGCTCTTGCATGGAGTATCTGCGAACCGTTCTGATCTTGCCGACACTGTCTGTGTCCAGCCAGGTAAGGCCCTCGTGTCGTCATCACGCCCGTGTCCGTTCCGAAAGCCACTCGTTTCGGCAATGGCGCCGACGTGCACGGTCAACGTGCGTACACAAACACCAAGCACCAGCGCCCACCAATGAACCGGCAGACGCTGCACGGCAGCGCGCAACGCGTGTTCGTCGCGATGGCGTCCCTCTGCTACGTTGTATCCGCCGATAACTACGACAGACTTGTTCCCAAGCGTGGCGGCCTCCTTGACTGAACACGTTCTCGTTCGCGTCGGATTACTTTAATCCCACCCCCGCTCCGCTTCCACTTCCACTTCCACTTCGATGAGTGGAACTGTAGTACTTTAATCCCAGATTTTGCTCGCCGTTCCAGATCTCCGTCAAGGTGGAGCGATGGCGGAAGTGGAGGCGCCGCTCATCACCGAGGTGGAGGGGGAAGAGGGCCGTGGCTTCCGCGGCTCCGCGTCCGACGGAGGGGGCCGCTCTGGCCTCGGCAACGGCGTGCGGGGCGCGAGGCAGTACCACCGCCGCTCGGACGCGCTCGCGTACGGCGACCAGTACCAGAAGGCGGCAGCGCTCGTCGACCTCGTCGGTTCCCGCTCCGCCTCTCACTGCTCTCGCACTCTCCCCGCTTTGCTTCGTTATGTGAAATGCTGTGATGCTTTGCTGTAGCTGAGAATTGAGGTGCTGGTAGCCTGTTGATGTCCGTGAGGTAGTTTGCTGTTGGTGGAGTGGACGAATTTCCTGTTCGAGACAGTTGCGTGCTTACGTGGTGAGATGCAACGTTGAGCTCTGGGTTGTGGGTTGTTGCACAAAATTTGTTCCAGAGTTTGTGCTCTGGTTTGAACGTCGAGATGAAGCTGAGGTACCGCTTCATGTGCTATTTATGTTAGTTTCGGGTGGTTTGGATTTTTGAGTGTTTCGTCCTCTGGGGATACTTAACTGTTTGTGCATATCAGCATATGGAGGAGCATTTACGTTCCAGTGCTTTTGCTTGTGGAGTTCACTGTTGACCTGAGTGTGTGGCTGCCATATGTTTGATGCTTGTTTGAAGATGATGCACTACTGTGCTGTGTTGTAGGATATGGAGTAGTTGTGATGTTGTATGTAACTAGTGATGATTTCACAGTTATGGCGTCAAGAAATATTTGCATTTGACACAGAATTTTACCTTACCAGAATTGACATTTTTATTTATTACGTGCCACAAAACAAGGTTATTTTATTCCTGAGAGCTGGGCTGTAGTTATTGGAGGCAAAATGCACTTTTCCTTGACAAGAAATGAACAATTAACGATGAAGCTTATTTGTCAATCTGAAATTAGGTTTTTGTTGTCATTTCCTGTGGCATGTTTGAAAATCTCAGTACAGTTTTGGTTGACAGGCAGAAGATGGTGTCGGTATCCCTGAGGATGTCTTGAATGACACAAGGTTTGAGAGGGCCATGAGGTTTTATTTCGTGTATCTCCGATTGGATTGGCTCTGGTCACTTAACCTATTTGCTTTGATTCTATTGAATTTCCTAGAGGTCAGTTCCCAATATTTGCGATCTCCATTTGTTATGCTGTATAAGTTCTTAGGTCAAGATTGACCTTTTGTTACTCGTAGCTGAAACTAGGCATCTTAAGTGTACCAAGTTTGCTTTGGCCAAAAAATGACATGTCATCGCAAGGACTATTACAACAATTAATGAGATATTTTATTTGCATTTCCAGAAGCCTCTCTGGTGCCAAAAATACGCCCCAAATACTTGTGATCAAAGGGATCTTTACTTTCTTGGGCAGCTGCCATACTTAAGCAAAACAGAATCACTCATATATGAGGTAAGGCTTCCTTGACATGTGTAGTGCTTCAGTGCCCAGGCAAGAACTTAACGACTCAAACCTTAAAGCGTTATTACGGTCAGTAGTGTGTTTCAGGGCATGTATATTTACCTTCAGTTACCTAAAGTAGTCTTTTACAAATTTTCAAACTTTCAGTTAGAGTTGGAGCTACCATAGTATACAATTGTGCATGTTTTGAATGAAGAACATATAGTTTCTTATAAGGAGTCTGAAAATCAGAGCTTTATGTTGCTTACTCTTAATTTCAGGCCCTTACCCTTGTCATTCTTGTCTTGGATATCTTCTACCCACTTTCCTATGAAGGTTTAAATATTTTCTGGAAGAACTCCATGAACAAATTGAAGGTAATGCATTTGTCTTCGCTTATGTCTTCTTGGGCACATTTCTGCATAGGTCTGAGTGCTTGAATATTATTAATTTTTGTGGTTTGAAAGAGTGAAAGTAGGTATTGATACACTATAATATCTTTATCCAGTAAACCATAAGTTGACATTTTAGAATGTGTAGCTAAACTTTGCTTATCAACATATTATGCATATTTAAACCATACATATGAAAAAAAGGGCGTACCCAGTGCAGAGAGCTCCTTCTCTGTGCGGGGTCTGGGGAAGGGTGTCAGTGGCAAGCCTTACCCTCGCCTGTGCAATGCGAGGAGACCGCGACTCGAACCCGGGACCTTCCGGTCACAAGCGGTAAGACTCTACCGCTTGCACCAGGCCCGCACTTGTATTTAAACCATACATATGAAAATGTGGTGTAAATCTATCTCAATAAATTACTTCCATCATATTATATTTTAATAAAATAGGCCGGCTAAAGTTGTGTTTTTGGAGACCATGCCAATGACAAACATTAATTTTCTTTTATATATAGATGACTAGGAACAGTAAATAGAGGCTAGCAGAGTAGAGATCAGATAACTCAAACATTTAGTAAGGCATAGATGCTGATTGAAAGAGTTAAAGTAGCTTCTATACATTGCAATACAGATATAATGACTACGAGTAGGAAATAAATATCTTTGTTTTACTTTAAAGCTATCCCAAGTTCAAAGAGAAATGTCACCTCAAAAAGTAATGTCAGCAAAATGATTTGGAATATTTCTGGCCCTTGCCCACCACGACACAGTTTGGCAAAGCACCAATTTTAAGATAGTAAATTTAGGGATGCGTGCTTGATTTTGTGATAATTTAGTTTAATCTTGTAGTGCATGATAAACTATTCAGTCAGTAGCATACTAGCTTTGCACAGGTCTAGATCCTTCTGAGTTCTGCATTTTAGATGGAGCTGTGTTCAGGCATAGTACTTCTATTTTTCTTGTTTTACTAGCTCTTATTGTTAGAGATTTTCTCTATGCACGATTAAAGCTCTGCTTTACTGTTAGCTAGCCTGCCCCCTGGGAACTATCCCAGCGTGCTGCCTTGGCTCCTGGGCGTCGCCTGGGTTCCATAAAGTGTACTCTGTAATCGTCCTTTGATGAATTAACCAAGACAGCTGCAATACACATCTGTTCTCACTTGTCGAGTTGGGTTTGGGTATGTGTTTTTGCTGCTCCAGTCATTGTAATTTGTTCATGGTTCTGGTTCACATTGCAGGTTCTTCTTCTCTTCATCTTAGCATGCGACATACTTGTGTTTATGCTTAGTCCTGGACCTTTCAGAGTAGCTCCATACATTCGCGTTGTATTTCTAATTATGACGATCAGGTATGTATTTATCTGCCCAAACTGATGATACTTCTGGTACCATAATGAACATAGTAGGAGGGCTTCCAACTAAATCCATGTATAACTGATATGGAATATAAAAGCCAAGAGGAGAGTCATACTGTTTAGAAACAAGGAACTTGAGACGCGTGCACAGAGCACGCTCATTGTTGGTTAAGGACTGCTGTGTTTTTGACACACTGAGTAAACATTCCTTTCTGCAATAGGGAACTGCGAATGTGTGCTGTTACGCTGGTTGGTATTGTTGGGACATACCTTAATGTTTTGGTAAGGTTTTGTTTTTTATACCACTCATAGTATCATATGCCTATAAGTTTGTCGTGCGCATTATCTTTTTCAGTTTCATCATATGATTTTGTCACCGGCATTTGTAGGCTCTGTCACTGTTGTTCCTATTATTTGCAAGCTGGCTAGCCTATGTAACATTTGAGGACACGCCACAAGGAAAGACCATTTTCACATCATACGGTACAACATTATATCAGATGTTTGTCCTGTTCACCACATCCAATAATCCTGACGTATGGGTCCCTGCTTACAAGTAAGCTGCGCATCACTATTCCTGAAGAGTTTTGATAATTCCTTCAGATTCACTCACACATGCTCACACATCTCTTGATTAGGAGCTCTCGTTGGAACGCCCTGTTTATTGTTATTTATGTGCTGTTAGGAGTTTACTTCCTAACAAATTTAATTCTTGCTGTCATTTATGATAGCTTTAAAGAGCAGGTAGAATCCTTCCTTACATCCTAATTCTCTTGAACATTAGTATTCTTATCTTCTGAATTCTGCTGTGTTCTTTCTATGCCAAAATGTAATTTGAATGCATGCATGGAACTTTTTTTGTGATCCAGCTTGCAAAACAACTTGCTCAAATGGACTCTATAAGGAAAAGTATTCTACAGAAGGCATTTGATCTCATCGACACTAACGTGAGTCCTTTTTTTATGTTCTCTTGGACATTGATGCACTATCCAATTTAGCAATTATATCTGTTCCCTTTTTCTGTGCATCAGGGTCAGGGCTACCTTAACAAGGAACAGTGCATATCATTACTTGATGAGCTAAACAAATACAGGTAACTAAAGTGTCTCCTTTCACTCTCTGGCAGCGGCGGATCCAGGAAAATTTTTAGGGGGGGCTGAACAACACATACCTCCGACTGCTGCTCGATCTTAAGTCTGAGCCCCACCTACACTATAGAACTTTGACTAAAAATTCATAGGGGCTCTCCGGTATGGGTAGGGGGCTCGAGCCCCCCCCCCACGCCCCACCGTTGGATCCGCCCCTGCTCTCTGGTGCATTATATCTTGTCAAATCTTCCTGGAGAATTGTCCTGTTCATAACCAAATTAGAATTTTCTTTCAGTAAGGATAGTATTATACTAAATTACTAACTAGTATCAGTATAGCACTCTAATTATATCTCAGTATTCATAATCTGAAATGTCTTTTGGTTTCATCTCCATAATTTACTATACACTTTTCCTACTCTTTTACCCTTGTTGGTGCCCGCTTTGTTGTTGCTGTGCATCATCTTATGCTGTTTGTTTTTTTGTTTTGCACTTTTGGTGTTGCCACTGGCGCATAATAACATTTTGCAACAGCGCTTATGGTGGTCTTGAGTTACTTACTTGAATCTTTCTTTATTAATTTAACACAGTATCCAGTAGGGATCCAACATGCTAAATATTTAACATTTGATGTACACATCATTGAATTGCTGGTGTCTTTTAGATCATCATGTCATGGAACCTCTTTTTAGGTCGTTGCCCAAAACCTCAAAGGAAGATTTTGAACTAATCTTTGCCGAGCTTGATCGGAGTGGTGATTTCAAGGTATGTTCCCACCCCAAACACACACACAAAAGGGGGCTACTATAATAATTTGGTATATTGATTATATATATTTTTTGCATTCGTGATTTTTCTAAAGGCTTATTGGAATTTTGATTTTTTTTTAAAATAATGTGTCTTCAATATTCAAGATATTAACTTGAGATGGAATGCTATTGAGCTCCAAAATGTTTGTGGTTCGCTTCTTAAATTTTTAATAATTTGTTTGGTATTTTTCATGTACATTTGAATGTCTGCCATTTATAAATCAGAGAACGAATTATTTGTCTAAGTTCATTAGCACCATGATGAAGAAAAAGTAGGCCTTTGAGTGCTCCATCTGGTGGAAAAGACCAGTGTACACCTTCTGCTGCATGCTCATGTTTAAGTATTTGTGCAGAAATGTTAGTCAAAGATTGGCTTCTCTACTTTCTGAAAGTTTTCAAGTTTTTGGACTGTAATTAAAAAATCCAGAGAAAATTAAGTAAATATAATATTGAAGTTCTGCTAGCTTCCCAGTCTGTTATCTATCACCTCTAACCTTTGATTTTTCAAAACGTAAATATGCTTGCATATCAATGTTGATGATTCTAAATCATATACCCTTATACAGGTTACCTCCGAGGAATTTGCTGACCTATGCAATACTATTGCAATAAAATTCCAGAAAGAACCACCAGTATGTTGACTGCTTCAATTGCTCATAATTTTGTGTTTATCACATGTCATGAAAATTCTGCTCATATTTGGACGAGGCTTGATTCAATGTCAAACATTTGTGTTATGTACAAGCACGAGCTATAATACTGTGAAAGCATATTTGAACTCATAGTTTTATGAAATCATATTCTTACTACAAATCTATCATTTTCAGTGCCTGTACCTATACTTGCAGTGCATAAATGATAGTGCTGTTATGCTCAACCAAAAAGGGGGCATCAAAGGTCTGATTTGATGCACTGTTCCAACCACTAACAATAATGCCTTAGGATTTGTGTATTTAATTTTTGGGAGAGCAGAAAAGCACTAACTGTCAGCGATAATTAGATTAGGAAAAGATATGTACTACCACTAATACAAAAGTGATGTTTTTCAGATCAAAACTAGCGATATTTCAATCATTTACTTTTATTTTTGATCCCATGTTGTAACTGACAGTTTGACTGGTTTGTATTTTTGTTTTCGTCTTTGCAGCCTTCATATCTGGAGAAGTACCCATCTTTCTACCATTCACCACAGTGTGAAAGGTTGAAGTCCTTTGTACGGAGTCGCCTGTTTGAGTATATTGTTGTCTTTGTTCTTCTGGTGAACCTAATTGCTGTCATTATTGAAACAACGGTATGGCAGTGCAGCATTATTTCCTTTTTTTTTCCACATTTTATATTTGTCTCAATTTCATAATGAACAGTCATATGACCAGTGAATATGATTGTGATCTATAACCTTCATGTAAGACATAATTTGCTGCTGATCTCCCTCTCTTTCTCTGCAGCGGAGTTGGCAATGTGGTCAGCTCGTTGCTGTCTTTTGCCCTGTTCAAGTATGGCAATAGGCCATCACTTGTACCAGGCTGTACTCTAGGTAGTAGAGGCTTAGCTCAGCCATATCTTAGTTGTTGGGGCTGATATCAGCCATTTCCTAGAGGACATTGTAGTAGGTGTACTAGTGTACCTTAGGAGGTACTAGTAGCTTGTATATATACTACCTCTATGCAATGGAAAAAGGCAGTTTAGTTTGTCACATTCAGAAGCCGAGCTTCGACTAGGGCTGGTGCTTGTGCTTTGTGTGTTCCTGAGCTCAACCCCTTCTTCTACCTCTAGCCAAGTGAGTGTGTGGGTAAGCTAATTGCTTACCTATGTAGGGCAGCAAGGGACCAGCAAGTGGTATCAGAGCCGTACAGGTGCTGCGTTGTCGGACTAATCGCCGGCGATGACGGGCGGCTCGGAGACGAGCGACAGCAGAGGAGCTGCTGGAGGCGACGGAGCTGCCCAGCCACGACAGGAGGTCGTTGTGCGCACGGTACGGGAGGTCAGCGGCACCAGTTGGCCGATGTTGACTCGCACCAACTATGGCGAGTGGGTGGTGACCATGAAGGTCAAGCTCGGTGCCCGACGGCTCTGGAACGTCATTGACAAGGGCACCGACAATGAAAAAGACAACATGTCGGCGATGAAGGCCATCCTCGCCGCTGTGCCAGCAGAGTACAGGGAGCCGCATGGGGCGAAGAAGTCTGCTAAGGAGGCTTGGGAGGCCATCACGGCCATGCGTGTCAGCTCCGATCGCGCAAAGAAGGCGGCGTCCCACAACCTCAAGTTTCGCGACGGTGAGTCGGTGGAGGACTTCTCCCTTCGCCTGCAGTCGCTCATCAGTAAGTTGGGGAGCCACGGCATCACCATCGACGAAGAGACGCGGTGTCTAAGTACGTGCGCTCTGTGCCGGTGAAATACATCCAGATCGCTCTCTCCATAGACGATGCTGGATATGTCCACCCTCACCATTGAGGATGTGATTGGCCGTCAGCGGGCGGTGGATGAGCGCACAGAGCAGGCCATGGCGACGACGGACAGCGGCAAGCTGTTGCTGACGGAGGAGTGGGCTACCCGGATGAAGAAGTCCGGGGAAGCCTCCTCCAGACGCTGTGGTAACGGCAAGCGCCGCGGCATGGCTTCTTCGGAGAAGAAGAAGAAGAAGAAGGTCGACCCCAATGTCTGCCGACACTATGGGAAGACGGGCCACTAGGCAAAGGAGTGCCCAAACCGCAAACAGGAAAAGAAGGCCGAGGCTCATCTCGCACAGGCTGACGACGATGATGAGGCCACACTCCTGATGGTGACGTTCTGTGCACTGCACGACGTCGAGGCAGAAGGGAAGGCAGAGGTGGTGGCGGTGACGGAGCGCTGGAAGGCTTCGAAGACCGTCGACCTCGACGAGTCGCGTGCCCAAGTCCACCTCGGACGTGTGGGCAGCGAGCAGGAGCAGAGGTGGTACCTGGACTCCGGCGCCCGCAACCACATGACGGGCTCCAAGGCGGCCTTCTCCGAGCTCGACGGGAACGTGGCCGGCATGGTGAAGTTTGGCGACGGCTCAAGGGTGATCCGAGGGTGCGGCACCGTCATCTTCAGGTGCTAGAACGGTGAGCACCGCACGCTAATGGATGTTTATTACATCCCGCAGCTGCGCTCGAGCATCATCAGCATCGGGCAGCTGGATGAGCACGGGAGCGAGGTGTTGATCAAGGACGGCGTCCTCAGGATCAGGGACCGAGAGCAGCAGCTTATGGCCAAGGTAAAAAGGTCCCGTAACCAGCTATACTTACTCGATTTGAAGGTGGAACAACCCATCTGCTTGGCGGCATAGTGCACGGAGGAGCCATGGCTGTGGCACGCTCGGTTCGGCCATCTCAGCTTCGATGCTCTTGGTCGACTGGAGAAGATGGTGCACGGGCTGACTCACATCGAGCATGCAGGCGGGCTGTGTGACAGCTATCTGGCCGGAAAGCAGAGGAGGCTGCCGTTTCCGAAGACGGCGAAGTACCGCGCGGCTAGGGCTGGATATCGAGCCAGCTCGGTCCAGCTCGAGCTGGCTCGTTAGGCTAACAAGCCAACTCGGCTCGGCTCGTTAATATTACGAGCTAGGGGGGAAGCTCGGCTCGTTACCGAGCTCGAGCTGGCTCGTTTAGCTCGCGAGTTACTAAAAAAAATGGGACACATGTTTATAATGTTTATGCTACATTAATTTCAGAAGGTGACGTCCACTATTATACAACCAGACATGATTAATACATATCAGGTTCATTAAAAGTATCAACCATGCAACATAGCTGGTCCATCCATGATCATACAGTTCTAGCATGCTAACTAGTTGCTTGCCACCACAAACTTAGAAAAATCCACAGATTCAATGTCAGCATCATCACCTTCTCCCTGGAAAATAATCCATAAAATCAACATTTAAGTGCCACAACAATTATAAAATTAAAATTCGTATGAAACAGCTGAAAATAAGGATTATATACCAATAGAATAGGTGTACACTTCTAGGTCAGCATCATCATCTTCTGGATTCATGGTCGTGGGCTGATAGGCCTCAGCTCGTGAGCAGCTCGCGAGCTGGCTCGTTAAAATAGCGAGCTAGACTTTCAGCTCAACTCGTGAAAAAGTTAAAACGAGCCGAGTCGAGCCGGCCACGAGTCGAACGAGTTGGCGAGCCGCGAGTATTTTGTCCAGCCCTACGCGCGGCAGAGGCTCTCGAGCTGGTCCATGGCGACCTCTGCGGGTCAATCACGCCGGCGACACATGGCGGGCGCAAGTACTTCATCTTGCTCGTGGACGACTGCAGCCGGTACATGTGGCTGCAGCTCCTGACGAGCAAGAGCGAGGCGACGGAAGCGATCAAGGCGTTCAAGGCGCGCGCGGAGGCTGAGTCCGGGAAGAAGCTGCGCATGCTGAGGATGGACCGCAACGGCGAGTTCACGTCGGTGTTCGCCGTGTACTGCGCGGATCAAGGGGTGGTGCGCCACCATACCGCGCCGTACTCGCCGCAGCAGAATGGCGTGGTGGAGCGGTGGAACCAGATGGTGGTCAGCATGGCGCGGTCGATGATGAAGGCCAAAAGGATGCCGACGGAGTTCAGGGGCGAGGCGGTGACCACGACGGTGTTCATGCTCAACCGCGCGTCCACCAAGGCCCTGAAGGGCAAGACGCCGTTCGAAGCTTGGCACGGGCGCAAGCCGAATATGTCCTTCCTCAGGACGTTCGGGTGCGTCGGCCATGTGAAGAACACGAAGCCCTTCCTCGGCAAGCTAGAGGACAGGAGCACGCCCATGGTGCTCTTGGGATTAGAGTAAGGCAGCAAGGCCTATCGGCTCTACGATCCCAAGGGAGGCAAGGTGGTGATCTCTCGGGTTGTGGTGTTCGACGAAATGGCGGCCTGGGACTTGGAGGATCCGGGCACGGGGGAAGACCGCGGTGTCAGCGGCACGTTCGCCCTTGAGCACTTGGTAATCCAGGGGGGAGATGCAGGGGCTGAGGAGCCAGCTCCGGCAGCTGTGGCGGCAGAAGAGCCAGTCTCCACCAGCAGTGGCGCACATGCCTCCACCACAGTCCCCTGTGACTACAGGACAGGGGACGCCTCCACTCGAGTTCGCCTCTCCGCCCACGGACATCGACGAGTACGTGGACGCCTTCCACGACGGCGAGGAGGTTCGTTTCCGCCGGGTGGAAACATCGTCGGCGACGGGGGAGCTCCTGGGCTGTCCAGTCGAATCCTTGACGACCCAGAGCTACTCCTTGTCAGCGTAGAGGAGGCGTCCACATACGCGGTGGCTGAACGTGACGCCAATTGGCGTCGGGCGATGCTGGAGGAGATGAAGGCCATCGAGGACAGCCGGATGTGGGAGCTGGTTGAGCCACTGCGGGCTGCCGGCCAATCGGGCTCAAATGGTTCTACAAGGTGAAGCGGGACGAGCTCGGCGCCATTGTCAAGCACAAGGCTCGGCTCGTCGCCCGCGGCTTCGTTCAGCACAAGGGCATCGACTTCGAGGAGGTCTTTGCTCCGGTGGCGCGCATGGAGTCCTTCCACCTGCTGCTGGCCTTGGCAGCAGCGAAGGACTGGCGCGTCCACCACCTCGACATCAAGTTGGCCTTCCTCAACGGCGAGCTTGCGGAGACGGTCTTCGTCAACCAAGCTCCGGGCTTCGCCGTCATGGGGGCAGAGCACAAGGTGCTCAGGCTGCGCAAGGCGCTTTATGGGCTCGGGCAGGCCCCGCGAGCATGGAACGCCAAGCTCGATGCCACTTTGGGTGAGCTCGGGTTCACCCGCTGCGCCACAGAGCACGTGTGCTCTACACGCGGTGACGGGGGAAGGAGGAGCTCATCGTCGGCGTGTACGTGGACGACTTGATCATCATCGGAGCGCATGCGGAGGACATCGATGGCTTCAAACGCGAGATGGCGGCTTGTTTCAAGATGAGCGATCTCGGCGCGCTCTCCTACTACCTCAGCATCGAGGTGAGACAGGGGAAGGAGTCCATCTCCCTTGGCCAGCGTGCCTATGCGGTGAAGTTGCTGGAGCGCGGTGGCATGGCGGAGTGCAAGCCGTGCGTGACTCCGATGGAGGAGCGGCTGAAGCTGAGCAAGCACAGCACCGCGGCAAAGGTGGACGCAACGCACTACCGGAGCATCGTCGGCGGGCTGCGCTACCTCACCCACACCCGGTCGGACATCGCATTCGCGGTCGGGTATGTCAGCCGTTTCATGGAGGACCCGCGTGAAGCTCACTGGACGGCAGTGAAGAGGTTGCTGTGCTACATCAAGGGGTCGCTTGATCAAGCGATCATCTTCCCCAAGCACGGCGGAAGAGGTGGGCTGCGGCTCACGGTTTTCAGCGAGGCACCGCCCAAGACCGAGGAAGGTGAGCCGGAGCTCACTGTCTTTAGTGATGTAGACATGGCGGGCGACATTGATGGTTGACAGAGCACCTCCGGTGTGCTCGTCTTCCTTGGAGCGGCCCCCATTGCTTGGCAGTCGCTGAAGCAAAAGATCGTGGCGCTGTCGACGTGTGAGGCGGAGTACGTCGCAGCGGCCACGGCGGCGTGCCAGGCTGTCTAGCTGCGCCGGCTGCTGGGCGAGCTGACCGGCGAGGAAGTTCACCCGCCAGCTCTGATGGTGGACAACCAGCCCGCCATCGCCCTCGCCAAGAACCCTGTCCTCCACGACCGGAGCAAGCACATCGACATCAAGTTCCACTTCCTCCGGGATTGTGTTGATGGAGGACAGATCGTTATCGAGTTCGTCGAGACCGGCAGACAGCTTGCTGACATCCTCACCAAGTCACTCGGGCGCCTGCGGTTCATGGAGCTGAGGAAGATGATTGGCATGGATGAGGTCAAGGCTCAGGATTAGCAGCAGGATTAAGGGAAAAATTGTAAGACATAATCTGCTGCTGATCTCCCTCTCTGTCTCTGCAGCAGAGTTGGCAATGTGGTCAGCTCATTGCTGTCTTTTGCCCTGTTCAAGTATGACAATAGGCCATCACTTGTACCAGGCTGTACTCTAGGTAGTAGAGGCTTAGCTCAGCCATATCTTAGTTGTTGGGGCTGATATCAGCCATGTCCTAGAGGACATTGTAGTAGGTGTACTAGTGTACCTTAGGAGGTACTAGTAGCTTGTATATATACTACCTCTATGCAATGGAAAAGGGCAGTTCAGTTTGCCACATTCAGAAGCAGAGCTTCGGCCAGGGCTGGTGCTTGTGCTGTGTGTGTGTTCCTGAGCTCAACCCCTTCTTCTACCTCTAGCCAAGTGAGTGAGTGTGTGGGTAAGCTAATTGCTTACCTGTGCAGTGCAGCAAGGGACCAACACTTTATGCTTCTGACTTCTTAGAGGTCAAATGTATTGAATCTTTGGAATGCATGCATCAAAGCTTCAAATTATAAGTGTTTCTTTTACAAATGAAAAAAATGAGAGCAATTCTTTGTATTGGTGAAAGGTAAACTATCATGTTTCATTCACTAAGTATGTGTTCCATAGTAAATATATGAATATTTTTGTCCCACATGAGGAACCTTCAGGAAGGTTGGTTTGTTCATGTTTACACATGTAATATGATAGGATTCTAATTCTAACTTTTATATGCATTAACAATTGTAGTTAAAGAGTCTACATTAGTTTTACTAGTTAGGTTAGTTATTTTGTAAGACAAAAGTAATTTTGGAGCAGAGGCATGAAGTAGCTAACTTTCTTTATTTGTCTCCACACTATCCCATCTCATGTCTCCTCCATGTCACGAACTTGTATGATATATCCACCAAGTGCAGCATGTTTTCCTAGTGCTGGATGCCATGATACCACACTGATCATGACTTCCCAGATGATGATCTTCTGGGTATTCATGATGGTACGAGAATGCACACAAAACAAAAATGAAATATGCAATCTTGACAATTTTTTTAACAAGAGTTCTACAACTCTGCCAGAACAACAATCGTTACAAAATTTTATGAGGATTCCCCACCATATATATCCTTTTACTGGCATGGTGAAATAAGCAACCTATGTTTGCTTTGTTCCATTGAAAGTCTTGATTGTTCGATGTCTCGTTTCTGCTGAAACAAAATATATAATAGATACTTCTTAATGCAATGATATGCAGCGTATTTGAGAAAAAAATATAATAGATACAATAGTGTACCTTTCTTTTACAAATATAAACTGGAATTGAAATTAATGTAATAGCATACTGAGAGTTTGAGTCAAATAAAATGCAATCTCTTGGCTGTGATCTTTGCAGCTAGATATAGAGAACAGCTCTTCACAGAAAGTGTGGCAAGAAGTTGAGTTTGTCTTTGGTAAGTATATTGTGGTGAACATGTCCTTGATCACTCTGATGGAATTTATAATGGTATATTATGTCGAGTCTTTGACTTTCTAACTTAAAGTCAGTCTCTTTGTTAATGCCACAATGTTCCGGTAGTCTTTTTCACTTAATTTGTCAAACAACATTGCTTTTTGTTCTTGCTGATGTTCCAAAATGTAGGTCGTTTTAATTCTAAGTCAAACTTTTCTAACTTTGAAAAAGTTAAAAAATATATAGTAATGTCTAAAATACCCAATAAATGCTCTATCTCATATTTCATGGTGCACTTAATGAAACTAATTTGATGTTTTAGACATTGGTTCATTTTCTATAAACTTGGTCAATATTAGAAAAGTTTGTCTTAGGACAAAACCAAACAACAACAACAACAACAACAACAAAGCTTTTAAGTCCCAAACAAGTTGGGGTAGGCTAGAGTTGAAACTCAGTAGAAGCAATCAAGGTTCAGGCACGTGAATAGCTGTTTTTCAAGCACTCCTATCTAAGGCTAAGTCTTTAGGTATATTCCATCCTTTCAAGCCTCCTTTTATTGTCTCTACCCAAGTCAACTTCGGTCTTCCTCTGCCTCTCTTCACGTTACTATCATGGCTTAGGATTCCACTACGCACTGGTGCCTCTGGAGGTTTCCGTTGGACATGTCCAAACCATCTCAACCGGTGTTGGACAATCTTTTCTTCAATTGGTGCTACCCCTAATCTATCACGTATATCATCGTTCTGAACTCGATCCCTTCTTGTATGACCGCAAATCCAACGCAACATACGCATTTCCGCGACACTTATCTGTTGAACATGTCGTATTTTTATAGGCCAACATTCTGCACCATACCCTAAATTTTGGAATGGAGGGAGTAGCATACAGCCATAGTACTGTAGCATGTAGTCACAATGAAAAAGGCTGCAGTAAACATCTAACTTTCAAGTTTTAAAACGAAAACATCTACATCATTTCCTAAATACAATTACGAAAAATGAACTGGTTCTCGTGATGATCCATTTTCAAAAAAAGAAAAAAAAATCTAGGGATGATACCTTAGTGTCCAAAACATGCCAACATTTTCTATTTGGGGTATCTTGGTCCAGTTGCTATGCATTTCCCTAGAATAATTAGTAAATTGCACATGCCTACAAAATCTCCACTAGGTGCATACGCTGCATGACATACATGGACTTTAACTCCTCTCTTCTGTGATGACTGGATGCTTTTGGTCCAAGTACTAGTTATGACTGCTAAGTATATCTTGACAATGGGTATGGCCTTAGTCCTTTTTGGTAGGTTGCTAAAGTCTCATCAGGCTATGAGTGGCTTTTCATTTATCACGTCGAATGTAATTTTTGCAAATTGCAATGCTTCTGCGCATAAGCACTGCCTCAGTAATATAATAAGTTATAAAATACCTGTTTTTTCTTTTGTGAAGCTCATAAGAAGTATATGCTAAATATGCGAGTACCTGATTGTCTATTTATAGACTGGTCATTGCTTTTGCTTAGTGAGGTAACATACTATAATAGTGTTGCCACCACGTAAATTGCATTTCCTACATTTTTTCCTTTTTGTCACCTCCTATCTTTCCTGTTGACACTTAGCTGAGCATTTGAAGTGCTTCCTTGGTGCTATTTCATCATGGAAGACATTATTCCTGAAACATTTTGTTTCCTCTATTACCATGAATGCTAATACTAATCTTATGTTGTAGGATGGATCTATGTTGTGGAGATGGCACTCAAAATATTTTCATTAGGATTTGGCGCCTATTGGATGGAGGGTCAAAATAAGTTTGATTTTGTGATTACTTGGACTATTTGTAAGTGTAACCTCAGTTCTAGAAGAGTTTATTTGTACTGTTCCATTATTATTATTTTTTCATTTTGCATTGTATTAAGAAAAAGTCACTTGCACTGCAAAATATTTTGGTTCAAAAGATTAGCTCCATTTTTACAATAAAAACCTGTAAATTCGCTGAATCATGCATTGCAGTGACTTTTTGTAAGAACAGAAATCTTTATACGATACATAATAATGTTTACATGTCTATAGATAAGGTAGCAAGATACTGATTTCCAGTGGTTAGTCTTAGATCTGATTTGATTGGTAATCAACTTGACTAATCATAGCCATGTTTTCTTACAGAACAAATATGATTGTGCCAGATGCATGATGCTTGTTAAATTTTAAGATTTTTTCTATCCTTTTTTAGAACATACAAGAAAGCTGCATGTCCTTGCATTAAGAGGATAACATAAGAAGCCAAATATGTAAAAAGTACAAGTAAAAATAAAGGTAATAAGCTACAAAAACAACAATATAGTTTATCTATAAAGCCTTCTGAGCTACAAAGACACCTTTTCTCAATATTTGGGGAGTTTGCATACATCTCCTAAAGTCCTCACTGTAAATAAGTTCGCGTCGCGACAAGATGCTTGACTTGAATTATTTATTTCATTTCTATGAGGGCATCTTCTGAAGTCATAGTGATTTAAAAAAAAAAGTGTACTAGCAAATGATTGTTGTAGTATCTAACTTCCCATTTCCCTGTAGTTTTTGGAGAGACCCTGACATTTGCCTCCCCATCAACGCTTCCTTTTCTTTCAAATGGAGAATGGTAACTTCACTATTTTGGATGCACTACTTTGAAAAATTTAGTCTAGTCCTTGTAAATACACATCATTCTTACAAATATGCCTAGAAGTCTAGAGGGCTTAGAAGTCTCTAAACTTGTGAAATATCAACATTATGCATCTATGTTAAGCTATTATTCAGTTTCCTTTATATTGCAAATGCAAGTCGAGAACCTGCCACCGTCACAATTATGTTGAGCTACATGTGTTGATGATTCAGGGTGTACTCCCAGAGTTGTCCTGTGCTGTATGCCTGTACTCCTAAAAATTGTAAATTCAATATTTTTGCCACTTAAGTTGGTTTCAAGATGATAGAGCACTGAGAAAAATCTGACAACATTTTCTTGTTGCTTGCTGTAACAATCTTGCTGTCAAATATGTGATAAATTTTCCTTTGATTTTTCTGTTAACAGGATTCGATATCTTCTCCTTGGAAGGATGTTGCGTTTAACAAGAATTTTGATGCAAGTTCAGCGTTTCAGAGCATTTGTTGCGACATTCTTTTCCCTCATGTCTAGCTTGTTGCCATACTTGGGGATTGTGTTTTGTATACTTTGTGTATACTGTTCCATTGGTTTACAGGTCCTAATATAATTGTGCTTTGCCGTGATAAATTTTATGCATAAACTAGTTCACTTGAGAGCTTAATTATTATTAAATGGTTAGTTATCACAGCTGTCAAGTAAGGAATTTAACTTAAATCTACAGTCTGTAAAGGACTGCAATTTACTGATTCAGTTTGTTTAGTTGAACACCTGTATAATAACTACATATACCTGTTGGCTAGATTTTTTTTTCTCTTTGATCACAAATTATGTGTAACACCTGTTGCTTGTGCTTTTCCTGAGCTGAACTACATGCATTGATTGTTGAAATACCATAGGCATTTTTTACATCTCTGTTTTTCATAAGATGATAGTTGTGGCTCTTTTGTTTGCAGTTTTTCGGTGGCATCGTGTACGCAGGAAACTCGAAGTTGGAAGAAACAGATCTCTTTGGGAACGAGTATCCTTTTTTTTTGTCTTGATCTTCATGTAGACTTCTACAGTTTGTCCTGGCTCACATGGCCTCTATACTAATACTTTAACTATGAAATCGAAATGTACTATGCCCAGTACTGTCTATTTTTCCCTTGACATATATAGTTATCTTCTTTTCAACTTCAATGACTACCCAAGTGGTATGGTTACTCTGTTCAATTTGTTAGTGATGGGCAATTGGCAAATCTGGATGGAGGTAAGAATTTCGCATGCACCCTTAAACCGCAATCTGCTTTCTTTCTTGACCCATCTCTTTTAGGGGTCTGACATGTAACCAGTTTGTTATGCATGTCCTTTTATTTTGCTTGACTTGATTTTCTAAAATCTAAGGAACTAGCTTGAAATACTTATGTCTATTTCCCTGAAACTGCCCCCTAATTTTTCATGGTTTCTGGATTGTCTGTCTAAATGATTATTAGAAGATTTCTGCCAGAAGTATTGAACCAATTTTGTTTTGGATGGCATTTTTTCCCCTAACCTTTCCCGTGCTTTCAGAGCTATGCACACCTGACTGGAAGTTCTTGGAGCCTGGTTTATTTTGTCAGTTTTTACCTTATTTCAGTATTACTGCTGCTTAATCTGGTAAGATATTGATTTTTTTTTTCTTTTAACAGTTGGCCCAGGCTTCTGCATGATATAAATTTTCTATTGTCGTAACAGAAAATTCGTTAGTTATGATTGGTTTGTGATTAGCTTTAGACTTTATTTAGAAATGATACTTCCAAGTATGCTTTTAACCCTCTTTTTGTTATTAGATGTCTTGTCACCATATGGTCTCTCCTTTTGTATTTTCAGATTGTGGCATTTGTGTTGGAGGCATTTTTTGCTGAGATGGAACTGGAGAAAGCTGATATGCAGGTTAGACGAATGTTTCTGCTTATAACAAATTATCATTACTCTACTCAGAAAACTGGTGTAAGTCAGTAATTAACTAAGGAATTGCTGGTACCGTATTTGCTAATGAGGACAGAATGCTATCCAGTTGTCATGGTTACTTTGTCCTTTGACTACTTTGATATACACGCTTCACAGTATTGTTTTAAAAAGTTTGAAAATTCGCCTCTCACTACTTTTTTTTTCTTCGAAAACGCATGAGAATTGCGCTTAATTATATTAAGAAGAAAAAAAAGGGGGGAGAGACCCCAGTTACAACACACACCACACCACTCCAAAATAAAAGTACAAACGCGCCTGTGGAAACAAAGAGGCGACCAAGACTAGACGTCCTCCAGACTACAGGGCTACAGGGGGAGGGGGAGGCTGGGAAGCCAAGAAAGATAGCCCCCGAGCCCCGGCCACAGCCTAAAACCCAAAACACCACCCAAGCTGGGAGTAGCTCCGTCAAAAACACGCCTATTTCGGTGGTTCCACAAGGTCCAAGCTCCTAAGATCACAAGAGAGTTGAACCCCTTCCTTGTTAACCCAACAGTAGCATTGCTTGAATTTTTCCACCACACATCAAAAGACAAATCTAAAGGCTGTGGACAGAATTGTTGGATCCCAAAGTGCTGGAGCAAATAGAACCAAAATTGCCGAGCAAAGACACAAAAAACCAGCAGATGGTTAACGGTTTCCTCCTCTTGATCACAGAGGGGGCACTGTGCCGGAAGTGGCAGCCCTCGCCTTGCAAGCCGATCATCCATCCAACACCTGTCATGTGCGACCAGCCACATGAAGAAACGACACTTGGGTGGAGCCCAAGATTTCCAGATTCTCTCATATGGGCCAAAAAGAGTGGATCCTATGAAAAAACCCTCATATGCTGACTTGGCCGAATACTGACCACTAGAAGAAAGACGCCAAATGTGAGCGTCTTCAACCTCTGGCTGTAGCTGAAAATCATAAAGGAGATCCCAGAGCTTGAGGAACTCCACCGTTACTTCCACTGTCATGATACCTCGGATATCCAGAACCCAAGCACGATCAGTAAGAGCTTCTTCAACAGTGCGTTTATTTACTATCCTTTTTGGTATTCCAGCAAGAAGATGAGGGGCTAGGTCTGCAATTGATTGTCCATTCAGCCATTTATCAGCCCAGAAAAGAGTGTTTGCCCCATTGCCAACTTCAGAGACAACCGCTAATATGAAGAAGGCTTGGACCTGTCCAGGCACCTGGATAGGAAAGTTCGCCCAGGGCCTATGGGGTTTCGTTTTCTGAAGCCAAACCCAGCGCATCCGCAGCGCCCATCCAAGAAATTTCATGTCCGAGATCCCCAAACCACCAAGCTCCGGTGGACGGCTCACCTTGCCCCATGCCACAAGACAATGACCCCCTTTTGCTTCCTTTCTTCCCCTCCATAGGAAACCCCGTCTAAGTTTGTCCACAGCTTTGATGGCCCAGGGAGGGAAGTCTATGGCCATAACAAGGTACACTAGCATAGCAGTGAGCACAAACTGTACCTGCACTTTTCTTCCAGCCCTAGTCATGAGGTCCGCCTTCCAATCTGGCAGCTGATCTGCAATCTTATCAATAATAGGCTGGATCTACCCCATAGTGAGCTTCTTAAGGGAGAGGGGTAAACCTAAATATTTGCAAGGGAATTCGGACACCGCACAAGGCAACAGGTTCTGGATGGTGGTCAGCTCCATGTCACCACACCTGATGGGTAAAACACTGCTCTTTTGAAGGTTGGTTTTAAGCCCCGAAGCATCACCAAAAAGATTGAGAATTTCCATTACCAGATTGTATGTCACCAGCTTCCGGCCTGAGGAACAGCACCACATCATCGGCGTAGAGAGAGATCCTGTGCTGCAAAACCCGCCTGGAGAGGGGCTGCAGGAGTCCCTCATTGGCTGCCTTTGAAACCATGTGTCCTAGAACGTCCATAACCAAGATGAACAACATAGGTGATAGGGGGTCACCCTGACGCAAGCCCCGCTGGTGAATGTTAGCCCCTGGATCTCCGGCACGGGTGAGTCGACCACTCACCACCGTTGCCGACCACGCACTGTGGTTGCCGACCACTCTATGGCTAGAGGTAGAAGAAGAGATGGAGAATAGAGTACACACACCCAGCACAAGCAACAGCGTTGGCCGAAGCTCTGCAGAGGATATGGCAAAACTGAACTCGTTCTTTACTGAGTTGTAGTGGTAAACTATATATACAACTCTACCCATCTAATCCTAATATAGACATGTCAGGCTGCCATGCTGCTATTAGTGACTAGATGTGACAGTAGGGCTGACTTTGGCATCTGCCCCTGCTGTGGCTACAGTGCGGCAGGAGAGCCATTCGGCGCCTGCCCCTGCAGCTGCTACAGTGCAACAGCAGGGAGCCCTTTCCGGCGCCGCCTGCCCCTGCCGTGCGTTCACACAAGTGGAGCAGCATATTACTTAACAATTTTTCCCCTAATCCTGCTGCTAACCCTTGAACCCCCTCCATGCCGATCATCTTCTTTAGCTCTGTGAGCCGAAGAAGGCCGAGCGGCTTGTTGAGGATGTCTGCGAGTTGCCAACCAGTTTCGACGAACTCGATGACGATCTGTCCTCCATCGACACAGTCCCTGAGGAAGTGCAACTTGACGTCGATGTGCTTGCTCCGGTCGTGGAGAACCGGATTCTTCGTGAGGGCGATGGCGGGCTGGTTGTCCACCATCAGTGTTGGTGGGTGAGCTTCCACACCGGTCAGCTCGCCCAGCAACCGGCGCAGCCACACAGCTTGGCACGCTGTTGTGGCCGTTGCCACGTACTCTGCCTCGCACGTGGACAGCGCCACCACCTTCTGTTTCAGCGACAGCCATGAGATTGGAGCCGACCCGAGGAAGACGAGCACGCCAGAAGTGCTCCGCTGTCTGTCGACGTCCCCCACCATGTCTGCATCGCTGAACACAGTGAACTGCAGCCTACTTCCGCCGGTCTTGGGGAAGACGATCCCCTGATCCACCGTCCCCTTGATGTAGCGCAGTAGCTGTTTCACCGCAGCCCAGTGATCCTCTCGATGATCCTCAATGAAGCGGCTGACGTAGCCCACGGCGAACGCAATGTCCGGCCTCGTGTGGACTAGGTAGCGTAGACCGCCGACGATGCTCCGGTAGAGTGTTGCATCTACCTTCGCCGCAGTACTGACCTTCGTCAGCTTCAGCCGCTCCTCCATCGGAGTCACGCACAGCTTGCACTCAGCCATGCTGCTCCGCTCCAACAGCTTCGAGGCGTACACGCTCTGACCGAGCGTGAGCGCCTCCTTCCCCTATCCCACCTCAATGTCGAGGTAGTAGGAGAGCGTGCCGAGATCGCTCAATCGAAAACGAGCCGCCATCTCGCGCTTGAAGCTGTTCATGTCCTCTGCACGCGTGCCAGTGACGATCAAGTCGTCCACATACATGCCGACGACGAGCTCCTCCTCCCGTCGCTGCGTGTAGAGCGCATTCTCGGTTGCGCACCTCATGAACCCAAGCTCGCCCAGCGTGGCGTCAAGCTTGGCGTTCCACGCTCGTGGGGCCTGCCGCAGCCCGTAGAGCGCCTTTTGCAGTCGGAGCACCCTGTGCTCTGCTTCCTTAATGGCGAAACACAGAGGTTGCCTGACGAAGACCGTCTCCGCCAGCTCGCCGTTGAGGAAGGCCGATTTTACGTCCAGCTGATGGACGCGCTAGTCCTTTGCTGCTGCCAAAGCTAGTAGCAGTCGGACAGACTCCATTCGTGCTACCGGCGCAAAGACTTCCTCGAAGTTGATGTCTTCGTGCTGAACAAAGCCTTGGGCGACGAGGCGCGCCTTATGCTTGATAATGGCTCCGTGCTCGTCCCGCTTGACTTTGTACACCCACTTCAGGCCGATCGGACGGCATCCTAGAGATGGATCGACGAGCTCCCAAGTCTCGTTATCCTCGATCGCCTTCATCTCCTCCAGCATCGTCCGTCGCCAATTTGAATCGCGCTCGGCCAGCGCGAACGTGGGTGGTTCCTCTGTACTGACGAGAAGCAGCTCTGGGTCATTGAGCAGCCGACCCGCCAGGCCTGAGGGCCCTGTGCCGCCGACGATGTCGTCCAGCCTGCGGAACCGCACCTCCTCACTGTCGTGGAAGGCATCCACGAACTCAGTGATGTCGCTTGGAGGTGAGGCGAACTCGATCGGCGTCGATGGAGTTTCCTGTTCCGCCGGAGTGGTCTGCAGGGCACCTGGAGTGCTCGGCACCCCGGCTGCAGTGCTCGTCACCACTCCTAGACCGCTCGTCACCACTCCTGGACCGCTCGTCACCATTCCTGGAGTGTTCGGCACCACTGTAGGAGTGCTTAGCCCCAGTCTTGGAGTGGTCGGCACCACTGCAAGACTTCTCGGCTCTGCTACGGGAGTGTCCGGCACCCGTCTTGGAGTGGCCGACACCACTGCAGGACCTCTCGGCATCACTCCCGGAGTGCTCGGCACCCTTCCCGGAATGCTCGGCACTGCCCCAGAAGTGCTCGGCTCTGTTGCTGGAGTGGTCGGCACCTCCTCTCCAGCATCTCCACCACCGTGGATGACCAAGTGCTCGACGACGAAGGTGTTGGTGAAGCCGCCAGCTTCCCCCATGCTCGGACTGTCCCAGTCCCAGGCCGCCTTCTCGTCGAACACGACGTCGCGCGAGACAAGCACCTTGCCTCCGCGTGGGTCGTAGAGCCGGTACGCCTTGGTACCTTCCGCGTAGCCCAGGAGCACCATTAGTGTGCTCCTGTCCTCCAGCTTGGTGAGGACCGGCTTCGTCTTCCTGACGTGGCCGATGCAGCCGAATGTCCGGAGGAAGGATACGCTTGGCTTGCGCTCATACCAAGCTTTGAATGGCGTCTTGCCCTTTAGGGCCTTCGTGGGCGCGCGGTTGAGGATGAACACCGTCGTGGTCACCGCCTCACCCCAGAACCTTGTCGGCATGCCCTTATCCTTCATCATGGATCGAGCCATGCCGACCATCGTCTGGTTTCACCGCTCCACCACGCCATTGTGTTGTGGCGAGTACGGC